GGCCTGACCGCGGCACCCGCCAGACGGTGAGGGCAGCGGCGCCGCGGGCACGGGCCGTGCGGGGGGCAACGCCCGGGGGAGGCCCGGAAATGGATTCTCTGCCCGGGGTGCAAAGTCCGACCCACGAGAGACCAAGTTTATTACAAACCCGGGCGGGGTCCAGTGCCAGGAAAGCAGCACCCCACAGTAACACGGAATGTTTATACATGCAGGGTTAAGATGAAATTACATTGTCCGGGGGCTAAAATGGATCGGGGGTGTTTTGGCGGAAAGGTTTGATGGAAAGATGGACCTGCTGGGACCTGGGCTGGGGGTCCTGGCAGGAGGCTGCTCCTGCACTGTCAGTTCTCTGCTGCTTTGCTCAGTACAGGCAACCATGAGTGAGCAAAGGGCAGTGATCAAGGATGCTGACATGTCAAGGTGCTGTGGGGTGGGCTAAACAGTATGTTTGTGAAGTATGACGTGAAGAGCAACCTTGTTTCTCACATAAAGAAGGCAAGTGTTTACTTGTAATGTCTCCTTGAAATGCCTGTGCACATGAACAATCAAACAGGGAGAATGCTGCTGGGCAAGCAGCTCTAGAGTAACGAGTTCTAGAGACACTAGATAATCAAGTTGGACCTCCTCTGTTGGCTGGTGTCCTTATGTTCCTGTCCCCACCCTTTATGTGGAGTTTTCCAGGTCCTTCTGCAGTCTTGCAGGACTTACTTTCTGCCTTACCTTTTCTGCTGCTGTCCCATTGTTGAGGTGACCAGGGTGGCAGCTGACTGTCCCTGTGACTGGTGAGCTGGTACAAAGCACAGAGGCTCTATTCAAGAAGTGGCTTTGGATGGCTTTTCTCCCCCACACATGTAAGATGAAATGTTTGTGCTCAGAACAGATGGTTCATAACTTCCAGTGTGTCAGGTTTTCTCTCTGACTCCTACTTGGAGACTAATTGAGCTGCAAGTAGTTGAAGGCTTTGGTTCAGCCAGACTCTTGCATGCTCTCACAAAAAGTCTTTTCAGCTGATGGCTGTTAATACTGCAGTGTGTAACCACTGCCTGCACAGTTTTTCTCACAGTAGACTTGCACACACAAGTTTATTGGAATGTCACAGCAGACTCCTGACTACTGTGTGTAGGAAGAACACAGTCTCATGACCTGGTAGCAAAAGTAGCAGAGAATTTTCCATTTAGAGTCCTTTCGGGATCCTTTTTGAAAGCAGATAAAAAAGCCAAGATAATAGCTTAATCTAGATAGATTCCAAACAAACAGTGAAGTTCTTAAAAACTTTAAAAAAGGGTTTGGGATCATGGTGTGACTTCAGGGGAAAAGTTACTTCCCCAAAAAAATGTTTTAAGCATATTCCTGCTCACTTTGGAAGCATTTTCTTGTTTATCTGAGCAGCAGATGACTTATAAAGTGATAGATTACCCTTGCACAGAAGAGCATATGCTGCTCCTTAACTGTTTGCTTTTAAAAGTTATCTTTGCTAAAAAGTGACATATCCTTGCATAAAAATTTTGTTAAGACAACATTAGTGCAATTCTCTCAAAAAAGCTGAATTCAGAGGTCTCTCTTTGCAGGAGTTTGACAAGAAATAAAATCCCACTTGGCACTGCATCGTGGGAAGGACTTTGGCAGCTAATTGACTCATGAGATGAAGCTTTTAATCTACTTCTGCTTTGGCAAAGTCGCTGTTCTCCCTTTCCAGTTTGGGTACAACCAAGGAGTGTTACTGTACTGGTCACAGGCCTGCACACTGACTCTAAACAGCCTCCTACCTTCAGCCTTCCTGAGGTAACAGACCTTGATCATCAGGTCTTGTCTTGTATTGTTAACGGTCAGTTGGTGTTTTCACTGTGGCTATAAAAAAGGCTGAAGTGTCTTCCTTGTATTTATTTTCTTTGAAAAGACTGCTTATTTGCTAATCAAACTCTTGGAATGAGTTTATTCTGTAAGAGCTTTCTCTGCCCTTCTGCCCTCTTAGTGCTTGCATTACCCTTTTTCTTCCACTGTGAATAAAGGAGGAACATCCATTTCACCCCCCTGAATCCATAGCATCTGAAGCCTAAGCTAATCTGCAAACATGTTGTCAGTCAGTAACTGAGTTCCCTGAGAGAGAATAGATGTTTTTCAGTTCTTGATAAGCATATCTGCAGCATGTGCAACCTCCAGTGCATATTCTGGAGTTTAGACACATGCTGTTGCTTTTATGAGTTCAAGTGAACTGGTGAGCTAAAAGCAACAATCCCATTTTTCTCCCAGTTTTCAGGAGACAAATTTTCATAGTTCATGACACTGCTGTCACTTTAAAATGTAAATTATACCTCCTATAGATTTTTTTTCTCTATCCCTGTGTCCTGCTACAGAAGCATCTGTTCTTTTACCCTTTAAAGAACAGAAGGAAATACACAGGTTTTTTACATGGAGGTTCTGCATCTAGTACTGACTAATAAAACAGATTTCCATAGAGGTGAAAACATGTAATCTCATCCCAGAATAGAGTTATGCAGTAATTTCTTTTTAATTAATGTTAAAATATCGACTTAAGTGGAAAAGGTTGATGCAGAGCTGTTTTCTTTCACAAGCCTTACATTTGCCTTTTGAAGAAGTAAAGGAATAATGGAAAAAAAATCCTTTAGAGTCCACATGACATAGGTATTATCAGCTTAATAAAAATAAATAAATCCAAGCTACTTCTCACTAGTATGATATCCTCCTTGAAGCTTAGTAAAAATAAAAAAGAGAGGAGGCAGCTGATTTGAAGATTAGTCAGTCTATCTACACCTCTGATAACTGAGGTTTCTTCACTGGTGAGCGTGGCTGTTTCAGCTCCATCCTTTACACTGAAGAGAAGTGCAAGTGCAAATGCAATAAATGCCACAGGCATCACTTCATCAACAGGTTTCTTCTGGGGGAAAAGGGAGCTGATGTTGTGGGTCTGACTGCTGAGTAAGTATCTGTTGTACAAGTCCTTAAAACTCCTTTTTGATCTTGATGGAGTTTAAATTTCACAGCCTTTGTCTTCCTCAGGAAAATCACACTTCTTGTGCTTTGCTACATAGCAGAGTCACAGTTTGAAACCTGAGTGAATGGCAACGATGCCAAAGTTTAAATTCTCATAATCCACTTTAAAAAACCCCGCATCTTCTATCATTGCTTTCAGCTCCTCCTGAAAAATAATAGTTCCATAATTACAAGCTGAAGGCCTATAAACCAGCTGCCTGCAAGATTAAGTTTGGACTGTGTCTTGTGTGTTAGTGCATTCAGAAAAATACTGTCTTACCTGAGGGGGGAAACGTCGGATGCTCTCCACAAGATACTGGTAAGACTTCCAGTCACCAGCGATAACCTCACCCAGGACAGGGATAACCTGGAAACTGTACAGATCGTAGAGCCTGCACAGATAGACAGCAGGTACAGATTAAAACAAACAAGTTTATAACCAACCCTCTCCAATACAAGTTGATCTCTGTACCACTATACTATGGAGTCTGCATCTGATTTTAAAAGCACACAATGAGGTGGCCTCAAAGTGCCTCTGTCTCTTATTCTGAGTACAAACAGAGAGCCCTGTGACAAGGCACAGTGCCACCATGTTCCTACCTGGAAAGAAGGGGGTTGCTGACGTGACTAAATTCAAGGCAGAGAAATCTTCCTCCTGGTTTCAGCACACGATAGGCCTCCTGAAGTGCCTGAGACAAAGCAGGTGCCATAAGTTTGTTTCTGTAGAACAGCACATGCCTATTATCATGCCAAGTGATGGCAACTCAGTGATGAACTGAGGGGAGAAAGAGAAACCTGACTCCAGTCTCCAGTGTTTACTGGTTGAGAAGCATCCCAAGACAAGAAAAAACCAAAAACGAAACAAAAAAACACAAATGAAAACCCCAAACAAATAAAAATACAAACCACAAAAACTCTTGCTGTTACACAAAGAGATTTACATGCTTTGTGTTGAAACTGTGATGTCAGGTTTGCAGTTTTTCTTTCTCCCTAGTGTTGATGAACGTTTGCTTGTAATTACAGACCAAACCCAAAAGGGAGAAGGTGACTCAGCTAAAAGAAGCTGAAAATGAAGAGAGGTCAGGATTATTTTTTTTTAATCAAAAGATTTTACTGAACTGAGAGGCACACGTGAGGGATGACAGAAGAAATGCTACTGGGTTTTGGATGAGCAATGTGTTAAAACAGGGAGGAGGGAGAGGGAAGAAGAAAATCTCTGTGTACTTTGAAATTCCATCCTGTATCCAAAATAAAACATCTAAGAACCACCATGACAGAATTCTGTTTACTGTATGCTTTTTCCATAAAAGAATACAGCAGAGTTGTACTCAAGCACCTCTGCAGGTTCTACAGCTGCTTGGCTTCAGCTGTCATGCTCCTAAGGGATAAAGTATAAGCAATACACATCCATGAGGGGAGCTCTGCAAAGGAATTGGAGGCTTGGATGTGTTTTCTGTCAGGTCTCCAGTGAGCTATGCTACCAGACTGCTGCATCCATGAAGGCAAAGGGCCTGTGCTTTGCAAGGGTGCAAACAAAGAGTTGCGTTATACCATCAGCATTAAGTGAAGTTCAAAGACATGCAGTTCAAGGTGGTTTGGATCCACATGCTACACCTTTCACAGAAGGAGCATTGCCAAGGTTGGAATACACTCCTCCAAAACAGACAACTAGTCCAGCTAGACAGGTGATCTAACCTATCTTGAGACACGAGGCTCCTTCTCAAAGGACTGATACTGTTTAAAACAAAGGGTACTACTTACCCCAATTAAGATCATACTCATTCTTCACAGAAAGCCCTACCCAGCCAGTGTAAAGACACTGAGCAGAACTGGGCTGAACAGGTCAGTTCTACAGCAGTGGTGGCAGCACCTTCTGCTCTGGGAGCTCTGCAGGCTTAGGCAAGCAAACAGAATGGACCCACTCCAGCTGGGATTTACAACAGGTGCTTCAGGAAGATTTGAGCCATGCAGACTGACTGCACTGTGCAGGTGTAGATCCAGTAACATCACAGGTCAGGAGAAGGTGGGGAATGACTGTAGTATTCAGTCTTCTTTTTCCTTATGAAAAGACTGTGTGACTTGCCAAGCTGGAAAGGTTGGGCACAACTAGGATAAATCTAACTTTTTATGACAAAAGGTGGGGCATTTAATTGCATTCTCCATTTAAACAAGTTGCATGCTACACGCCACTTATTTTAAAGGCTTCAGTAATCAAAAGATGTTCCTTTATCCAAAACAACTCCCCTTTCTCTTCCTCCACTAGAATAAAAAACTTCACGTGAAGTGTAAGGACTCCATGCCAGAATACACAACAGCAACTTACCAAATCAATACGAGTTACATTTCGGATTCCAAAGGCAATTGTGTAAACATCAAACTTATCATCATCAAAGGGCAACTCTTCAGCATTTCCAAGCACCCAAGACAAACCTGTAGTAAACACCAAGGACATAATATTAGGCAGAACTTATCTAACTCAGACTGCTCCAGAAAGATTAGAACTTATCTATTCCAGAAGGAAATGGTTATTAATAAAAATGATGTTTACTATTTCAATTTTGCATTTTTGTTGGAGGAAAGACTAGGTCTAGACTCATAAACCTTTCAAGGCCCTGCATGATGCATCTGTCTTCAGACGAAGTAGTTCATCTTGTAGATCAGCCCAAACGTTCTTCTGCATATACACACACAGTGCCTTATTCTGCCAAAAAAGAATTCACCCAAATCTTGCATGGTAGTGGAAAGCAGCTAGCTTTCCAGAAATTGGCTGCCATTTGTTTGTAGCAAAGTTGCAAAAAAAAGAATCTCTGGTCAGAGAATAACTATTAACAACAATGAATGTCTTGCCATGCAACTATGGTCAAAGCACTTAAAACTTTTAGTAGAAAGCTTTCATAGATTGAGGAATGTGAAAAGCCACACCCCCTCCATCATCAATATCAGTACCTGATCCTGTTGCAAATAGTTTGTTTCCTAAAACCCCAATGGATCAAGGCCACATCTATCTGTGAGCATCAATGTCCAGGTTATTGGCACCAAAAATAAGACTGCTCAATTTAGAATAAATAGTTCCTAAAGTTGCAGTTTTGGGTGACTCAGATACAAAACAATAAAATCAAACCCAAACCAAAGAAAATAACCAACAATACAAAAAGCCTAGGAGTCTTCGGCAACAGAGATCAACAGTTTCAAAGAGCAGTATGCTAGAAAGTGACATGGAAGAGAGGAAAATACAGCAGAACACAACAGCTGCTGCCAGAGACATCCAAATTTCATTTTTACAACACACATACATATTTATAATTGTAGAAAGCATTGTATGCAAAGCAGAACGTAACATTATTAAAGCAGCAATTATAAGGGTTATTTAAAGGCTTGAAGAGACACCTGAGAAGTAAGCATCAAGAAAAGGTTTTTGAGCAGCAAGAAAACTGCCCCTCTGAATACGCTGTGGTGAAATCACAGGCTGGGAGTTTAGAAGTGGGTACATAAAAAGTGGTTGTTGGCATGCAATAAGAGGAGCTGGGGCACAGGTGGGGCAGCCTACCACCTCTGGTGATTGTGCAACACACGTTTCATTTTGGCATGCACAGTCCCCACTGCTGGTGAATGTACATACGAACACAGTGAAAGAAAAACTTTGCCCCTTACAATTTAAGAAAAAAAAGTTTTAGACCCCAGACAATCAACACATAAGCAAGGTCAGAAATTAGTTGACTAAAGCAGGGAGGAATGGCATGTAAAACAGAAGGCAGGACATATTAAATGGCCATGTGCTGAACAAGGGAGTGAAAAAGAGTAAGAAGTCAGGATTGTGCGCAGTGGGGCATAAGGCAACCCAGGCAACAAGACAGTTGGACTTCTACAGCAACAATGTACAGGGGAAGAAATTAAAAAACAATCTTAATATTAATTTTGAGAATTTGGTAAGTCACAAAAATACCTTAAAGGTGCAGCCAATTGAACAAAATTCTTCATTTATGGCAGCTGGGAAGCAGCATCAAGCTGTATTTCAGATCCTGAGCTACTGTCATAAAGCTTTTATACCTAAAATGTTGGTAGAGCTCCCAGACTGTAACGCATAAAAAGAGCTCTAGACATACTGCCAAGCTGCTCAGAGAAGCATGATGCAAACAGTCTACTGGAGCTGAAGAACCAAAGCTTTCACAATCAGTTAAATTTTTGAAAAGAAGGAAAAGGCAGGTAGGCAACAGCCTGGTGTAAACCACTAGCAGGGACCAAGAGCAGCTGCAGAACTCACACCAGCAACTTATTTTTCAGCCCCTTTGTGCTACTAAGCTCTTCTGTATGTCATACACAATTTTTCAGCTGAAGTCTCAATGGGGGTGTGGGAGCAGGACACAGTGAGAGGACAGGCAGGAGATCTTGTAACACTTATGCAGAGGCTGCCCAGGGCATAGCTAATAGTGGTACCCAGGTGAACAGTTTGGGAACCTCCTGGTATATCTTACATTGCTAAAATATTTGCCAAATATCCATAAACAAAGAGAGGTAAGCAACTATTATACAAACGCTGAGCCACAAGCAGGACTTCTTGCTCTATGTCTTACTTCTTAAAATCAGGCTTTTCAAGCAGGATTGGCGTAGTCCCCAACAAACTCTAGATACCAGTCAATAAATCCATTGACCTGCAAACTAACATTTAATATAATTCAGTTTATCTGAGTATTATTAGCATATGTTCTAACTGTGGAAAATTTTATAGGTTCACAATGCAATTCAGTTCTTGCATTTTTCATTTGCTGCCTTGATTCTTGAAATATCCATTATAAGATCTTTAGTCTAATCATTCTAGGGCTGAGTTCTTGCATTATCTGCCTGAGTAAAATGAGATTCGACTGCACAGATGCAAACAGCAGGTTTAGGTAATTTAAGCAACCTGGAAGGATAGCTGGGCATCAGACCTCGTGGGCACTTCCACACGTATTTCTGAAAGTTCAAGTACTATTCAAGAGGATCACTACATACATGCCCACTTGAAAGTAACTTCTGAAAGTTCAAGTACTATTCAAGAGGATCGTAGGCATCCTACATGCCCACTTGAAAGTAAGTCAACACTGGCAAATATGCAAGCACAGCTGCAGTATGCACCATGGCTGTATAACGCATATTGTAATCCTGAGGTGGTGATCACCTGGTGGCCACCATGTATCACCTTCCTGCTATCAGGCATGCTAATGAAATGGTACAACACATGACTTACCTTCAGAGTAGCCAAGATGCTGTGCTTTCTGCTTCCCAACTTTTAGCATTTCTCTGTTAATGTCACAGACCACCACTTGGGAATCCCCGAGTGAATTAGATTTGTCTTCCTGGTAACTCTCAGAAATCTCCTGCCACGATAAATCCTGCTGGTGTCTGAGCTTCCTCTGGAGCTGCCGCTCTCGTGCCGAGCGGACGTAGTTAATGAAGCGAAAGGCAATGTCACCTGCATTTGTTTGGAAAGAAAGATACATGTTTTGGAATGTTTTCTGACCCCAGGAATCCAGAACATAAGGCTTTGAACATCAAACTGAGTTCATTTTTATTTACCTAGATACAGATAAAAAAACCCACGCACACAGGAAACAGAGTGAGTGTATATAAATAAATACAGCAAAAAGTCCTTGACTTCCTAAAAGTGGAAGCAGTTTTCCACAACATACCTTGGCAGTACCATAACACTTTCAGAACCATGGAGTAAGACACTACAAAACACAAACCCTTCTCTAGAAAAAACAAGCAGATGCTTCACCAGATTTAAAAACAGGCAAGGAACTGAGGGGGGGGAAATAAAAATAAAGGCTAGGCAACTTAATTCTGACCAGACTCAGCTCAAGAACAGCATAGCACTGTCCTGTGGAACCCACCAAAATTAATTTACCTGTTCCTCCAGCAACATCAAGCAGAAGTGTTCCTGGGGAAGGGTTCATTTTATGCACGAGGATATCCTTCCACACTCGATGAATCCCTAGAGTCATTGAATCGTTCATTACATCATATTTTTTGGCCACACTTTCAAAGACCTGGTAAACTGCAAGGAAAGTACACGAGAATGAGGTGTAATTTAGTTTAAAATGCTCCTGAGGAAGTAAAACGTGCCCTTTACTCCCTCATGAAGGTCTGCCAACCATATGGAACTGAAAAACAACTGAAAACTACTTATAAACATAGGACCGAGTCCTGCTGAGCCTGGCAAAGGTCTCTTTGGGGACACGCAGCTCCTTCCCGTAACCCTTCCGGAGCAGAGGGGAAGACTGGAGCTGGCCTGACACTATTTGAGACTCTCGGTAACGTCTCAAACTCACGGCTCGGCTCCAAAGGGCCGTCCCCAGCACCCTCACCCCTGCACCCCTTCCCGCCGCAGCGATAAGCACCGGGCACCCCGTTAGGTTCCAGCCCGGCATAACCCACCCTCCCCGGGGGCTCCCCAGGAGAC